GGCAAACTGAATTAAGTGACTTGTCCAGGGTCATACTGGTAGTAACTCTCTGAAGCCATATATGAACTCAGGAAGATGCTATTTCCTCAGGCCTAGCACTGAGCCACCTAACTGCTCCAAGTTTCTACTGCTTTCTAGCTATACTCTCCTGGTCAAGTCACTTAAACTCTGTGATTGTAGTTCCCTCATATGTAAAAGTGGGATAATAATACTTTATGTATATCCACCTAACAGTGTAGTTGTGACAAAAGTACTTTGTAAACTTTAAAGTGCTACTGTGCTATTTAAATGTGGACTATCAGTAGAAGGTATATTCTTTATTTAGGTCAAAACATCCCCCCCTCCTTCCATTATGACCATAGAGGTGCCAGGGAAAGGGCTATTACTCCTGGTAGCCAACCATATGAAAAAAAATCCTTAGTAATTTTAAACTAGATTTTTAAAAATAGTCAAAACTTTTTTTTCCCCTGACATTTGTTGTTTACTCATTTTCAGTTGTGTCTGACCCTTTTGGAGTTTTCTTTGGTAAAGACACTGCAGTGGTTTGCCATTTTCTTCTCTAAGTTATTTTACAGATGAAGAAACTAAGGCAAACAGGGATAAGTGACTTGCCCAGGGTCACACAGCTAGTAAGTGTCTGACTTCAGATTTGAACTCAGGAAGATGAGTCTTCCTGACTCTAGGCCCAACACTCTATCCAATGCATAACCTAGCTGCTCCTTTTCTGACATTATTTCATAGAAACGGAAGAACAGAAAATGTTAGCCATAAATATTTGAATTATTACTGCTATATACTAATTCTTCTGTATATTATTTACATATTTTATTAAATTAGCTTCATTTACCAGAAGAAAAAGGAGAATTTTTAAAAATTCATCTTCCTTGTGAAAAGCTTTCTCTTTATAATGACTTGACCTTGCAATAACACTCAGGGTTCAGACTATACTTCCAAAGGGCTGTTGGGTAGCCAGAATTTTCTTTAATAAGGACAGGATTCCAATTCCTCCTTAGCTCTATTCCTTGCTGAAATGGAATCACTAGAAAACAACAAAAATAATAAGCTGTATTGCACAGAAATTAAAGCCAATTAAAGGAATAGCAGTAGACTCGCTATGCTAATCAGATTTCATTTTAAACATTGTACAACTCCCCAGGGTCTAATGACACCCTCCAAGAATGATGATGATGATGATGATGATGATGATGATGATGATAACAATAATGTCTAGAGAGGCAAAGAACTACAGTTAAAAAGAAGATATCAAGCCAGAAACAAACCATAAAATAGAGTTGCTGAATGAAATTCCCAATACACAAAACTTTGTGGATGATGGGTAAGGGATACATGGACTTAGAAGGTAAAAATACTTGAAACTTAGGCACAGACCAAATGTGTGTCTGGTACATTATGATTCAGATCCTGAGTAATAAAACAAAAGAAAAACGACTTTTTTTTTCTTGTTTAAAAATATTTCAAGTAAAAGAAAAAAAATAAAGAATCTAGGCCTCAATACAACAGAGCAAGTCAGTTATAGAATCAAGATTCACTCTCCCATTTCTGATAATTTTAAACAAGAATTCAGTATGTTACACTGAATATCCTCAAAATGGCTATCTTTTGAGCTAATCTAACCCCAAAGCCCACTTGTCTGGATGGTCAAGTTGCTTAAGCTCAGTAGGTTTGGCTGCTATGATTGAAATATAATTTCAGGCTACACTTGACGGGTTGTTGCTTAGTAATTAGGCCCAAAGAGATGATAGAAAATGAGAGTTAATATTATCATATTAAGAAAGGTTTTTTTTTTTTAAGGTCAATTTTTTTTGCATAAACATGGACCTCCTTGGCAATCTAGTGAAACCCATGGATTCCTCAAAATGTTTTCAAATGGGGAGGTATCCTAGGTTTTTTGTATAACCTAAGCTTGTCCAGGCATCCCCAGATCACCTAAGGTAGAAATGCCCTGAGGAGCCTTTGGAGCATGTCTGGATTGCTAACATGGAAACTTCTGTGTCCCCTACCCAGTGAATGGATGTAAGCTGCTTTAATTGGCTATGTAACCTAAACAGGCTGCATTATTATAACTGGGGAGACTGAGGTCTACGGCTGTTTCTACCACAAATTTGCAGCTCCCACTCTTCTTTATGTTTGGGGAATGTGAGCAGTGGGTGTTAGAGCCCCCACTGGCAGAAAAGTTAACTACCCTTAACGCCTTTCAGGGTAGGGGAAAACGTTGGAGGTGGGGCAAAATCTAACCTATCTGACCTTCTAGGCAATGAGGGCCATGGTAGTCAGTGTTAACGCATAAAATAAAATGTATAGTATTACAAAGGAAAGTAATTCTATTGAAATGTAGCTATCAAATATATAGTTTAAAAATCAATTTCAGAAACCACAGGTTAAGAGTTGTTTCCAGCCTGACCACTGGGATCAATGTCCAGAGGAAGAATTTCATCTGTTCATAATATCAAATTAATTCTCTTCACCATCCTATGGCCAAATCAGTCCAAAGGTATAGTCAACTGAAAGTACAAATGTGGAGCCTCTAAGTAGGGGCATGTGTGGGGAGGGGGAGTGAGGAGTAGAAGCCAAGTCAGCTAACAGCTCATGCTAACACTCTTAATGGGAATTTTTGTTTCAGAGTGTCTTGTGAAAACTTTCTGATTAAATGAAAACAGTCATAATGGCTCTCTGGCTCCCTGTCTACCAACCTTCTCAATAACTTAGTTTGACCCCTTGGCACACAAAGGTTCAGCCCCAATTCAGGCTCAGAGGTCCACCTAGCACCATGGCAGGGGAAATATAGGGATCCTTAGACCTAGGCAGTTGAGCATTATTGCCCTTGCTCCTTGCTTTTCCTAGACTTTTGACTTATTCATCATACTTAAGGCCACTACTTGACAAATCTCTCCATTCATTGTATGAATCTCTCCCTAGGATCTCTACTGGGGTTCTTCTACCTTTTCCAAGTCCCCATGGCTTGGGTCCTCAATACCTGCTTTCTTAGCTTCTTTATACCTGCCTGGAACTCCTTCTATTCTATGGACTCCTATCAGAATGTCCTAATATCACGGTCATACAGCTTTATTAAGGGCATTGGGGTGGCACAGTGGATAGAGTGTGGGCCTGGAGTCAGAAAGATTCATTTTTGTGAGTTCAAATCTGGTGGCAGGCACTTGCTTGTTTATGATTCTGGGCAGGTCACTTAACTCTGTTTGCCTCAGCTCCTCATCTGCAAAATGAGCTGGAGAAGGAAATGGCAAACCACTCCAGTATCTTTGTTAAGAAAACCCCAAATGGGGTCATGAGGAGTTGGACACAAAAGACTGAACAAATTTGGAAGTACAAAACTCTTATGGTTGTTGCCCCCATGGGAGGCAGCTAGGCAGCTTAGTGAATGGAGCACCTGGGGGAAGACTCAAATTAAAATCTGACCTCAGACACTCACTTGCTGTGTGACCCTGGGCAAGTCACTTAACCCTGTTTAACTCAGTTTCCTCACCTATAAAATGAAGAAATGGTAAATCACTCCAGTATCTCTGCTAAGAAACCCCAAATGGAGTCAAAAGAGTTGCACACAACTGAACAACAACACCACACTATTACACACTGAAATATCTATCAATGCTGGCAACCCAACTATTCAAATTTCTTATCATTGGTGGCTTCTGGAAGTCTGTCTTAATTTCCTGCCTGGCATGTCTGTCTAGTCTCTGACTCAAAGTAATGTCTCACCCAGTTGATTCTAACACCAAAGGCTGGTCCCAACAATGGTTGATGTGGTAACATGTGGCATAATAGAGGTCTCATCTGGGAGTCAGGAAGACCTGGGGTTTCCATTCTACTTCTGATAGTTATTTGCTGTATGACTATGAGCAAGTCTTCATTGTTCCAAAGCAATTCTTTAAAACTGCAAATTTCAGAAGTATTGCCAATCTGCACCAGTGGAAGGAATTTCCATCCTGGAAATTCACTACACATGATGAAATTAAAAATCAGGATGAAAATGTATACATATATTACTTGTTCCAGAGTGGAAGCCAATGCCATCTAGCAATGTCAATGGAGGATGGGAGGATCATATATAATGGAATGTATAGATCATTGAGTGTAAACCCCTCATTTTATAAGTGAGGAAACCAAAGCCAGAGTTGCATGGCTATCAAGGTTAGAAGCAAGATTTAAATCCAGGTCTTCCTGACTCCGTGTTAAGAGGTTTAGTCATTATGTTTACAAGAGAAAGCTGTACATAAACAAGTCTGAATATAAGACATCTTGAGTCCTAATTTTTGTCCTTGGCCTATCTTGGAGGAAAAGCAGTGCTCTCTCTCTCTCTCTCTTTCTCTCTCTCTCTCTCTCGGTCTTCCCCTTAAAATTTGTTTTGTGGATCAATTTAATAATCTTATAAATAGCCATGAAAATGAATGCTAATTGTTCCATTGACCCTTTGGAGCCAGTTTCTGGGAGAAGTAATATTATTAATGGAAAAATTAAGATGGGATTGTCTATATATTTTATCATTATATAGGCTAAAGTACTGAGAAACAAGCAAACTTTTTTCATGATCTTGATGTTTATGCAGATAACATAACATGAAATTGACAGGATTAGACATGTTAATATAGACATTGTACTAATTTAAATGGGAAAAGATTATTTTACTAGCCTCATTATGCTAATCATTCTTATGTAACACTACGACATTGCAGACAGAACAGAGCCTACTCTAACTCAAATTAAGTACATCTAATGATCTATAATATTTTGGCCTCAGAAATATACTTATCTAAAGTTAATTATTACTATCACAATGATTCTATAGAAAATGTGGGTGGGAATTTGCCGATTCAAAAGCTGACGGGTTTCCAGAGTAGGTTGAGGGATTCTTTAGCCACTTTCAGAATGTTTCAATTAATAAAATCATGGCAAACTACGAGCCCTGACTTCAAGGTTAAATTTGTCAAAAGGGAACCTTTGGCACGCACAGCACTGCACTGTACCTGTACAGATGAAACTCGATAGTCCTCCATAGATGACATCATCATTGTCTGGTAATATAAATGGACACCTTGTCTGAACCTCCAAACAGTATTGCTTGCAAGGAATTGTCTTTCTGCAGTGAAACTGTGTGACTTCAAAATACTGGGAACAGAGCCAGGCTTTGTAGACAGTCTGGAAAAAAAAAGAAGAATCAAAAATATAGAGAGATGACAATATTGCTGTCACTAACAGGACACGTAGTGCAGTAGGGTGAAGGCTGTGCTTGAAAGTGGATTATAAGAAAAATCACATGTTTACACAAGGATAAAAACGTAATCATTGGAAATTACTGCAATTAAAAATGATACATGATTTCATCACATTCCTCAACAAATTACCAAACAGTAGCTTGACGTTGGACTATCTTAACGCTGCTTAAATGAAGTAAGATTGATTTAACTATAGCTTGCATTAAGAAAAAAAGAATAAATATTATAAAAACAAAAGTAACCTAATTTAGCATTTGAAAATATTGTAATTATTTGGTGCAGTGTATGGGGCCTATTTGCCCTCTAGCTTCCTTTGCATTTAGAGTCCTAATGCCTATGCTCACAGTGGACTGTAGATGGTGCTGATTCTCCTAAAAAGGTGACCCAACACAATTGGAGAAAACAATCGCTTTTAAGCTGTTTGAACTTGTAGAAATGCAGAGCAAGGTAAAGAGTAATAAACAAAGCATCAAAAATTTACATTTGTGTTTCATGTCAAACATTAAAAAAAATCTCATTATCTGAGATGATGCAAGACATGCAGAAATCAAGATATTTAAAATGGGCCCAATAGAAGGAAAAATAATATTTTGGTTTTTAAAGAAAAAAATCATTATAATGTTAACTTTGACTTTTTTAGGCACTTGGTGATTCACATTAAATAGTCAATAAATATTGAGTTAATTAGAAATTCAACTGTGATAATCACACAATCCCCACACTCATTCAAAACAATTTCAGGGTATCAGAACTATACTTTTATTTTGTTTCACCTAATTTTTGGTGGTTACCAAGAGAATTCTGGAAATGGTACATTGTACTAGTACAAGAGAGTGATACACTCTTTAAAAATAAATAGTAAAACAACAGAACAATGATCCATCTGTCCACCCATCCTATACAAATGACCACAGTGTAGCTTGCTAAGATTCAGATCTATATCCTAGAGTTTTCACTTATCCATTTGGAAGTGCTTTATCAATTAGTCTTCTCCCAATTCTTAGAGGGTACCAAAAATTGCCAAAGGGGAAAGAAGAAGAGAAAGACACTTTTTTTAATTGTTTCTTCTTTTCCTCACTTTCTCACATTTTCATCTTGAGCTGCCCCCTAATATTAAGCTATGTGATCTTAGACAAGTCATTTAAAATGCCAGGTTTTCAGTATTCTCATTGATGAAGGGAAGACTTTGAATTACCGAATCACAGAATTTTAGAGTTGCAAAGGATTTCAGAAGTCACCTAATTTACCTTTAAGGTCCATTTTATCTCTAACATTTTGTGATTCCACGATTATTCTTTTATTGGTCTTTGATTAATGTTTGGAAGAATCAGAATCAGTATTGTGAGATAAAAAAATATTGGATGTTGAGGATGAGAAATTTCATTTCTTAATAGTGTCATGGTAACATTTCTTCTATGCTGTACTTAAAGGAATATGCTAAATATGTAAAACTTAAAGCTTTTTTCTCTTTCAAAATAATTCAAATTTACAATGTCAGTATCCAAGGACCATGAACTTGAAATGAACATAATCTGTGCCATTTGTTGGCTACTTGAAGCTCCAATGATGGATCTATAGGTATAAAAGAAAAATCAATTTTAATTAGAAATTTGGTTTTTGTTAAACTTTAATATATATTATAGACATAGTCTTAGAGTTGTTATTTGGTATCTGTATGATTTGGGTAGGTTACAAATTTATATCACCAGAAATTTTGTAATCAAATGTCAGTAACTGATAAATTAATATACAGATGTTTTTGAATTTTGATCTCAGTTCAATTTATAAAACACAGAGTAACCCGTACTCTAAGGCTATTTTGAGGTATACAAAAGTGAATAAAACACTAGGAATTAGTCTCAAGAAACTTAAAATCTACTGAGTAATATACAATATTCTTGGGGAAAAGGTCACCACTCTGATGGAGAGTCCTAAAAGAATATGAATGACAGGAGGTATTCATCAGCTCCTGGTACATAAGAAATTCAGACAGTTCACTTGAGACAGTTCCAGGAATTTTGATAGACAAGGATAAATATGATCATCATTGGTGAAGTCCTCTGATCCAGTGCTCAGATACTTTTTAGCACTGTTATTTTTTATATTTTACTTTGGATTACATACTAAACTTGTAAATAAATTTTCATATAATGCCTGTCTCAACAGTGAGTAAGGAGAGGATAAGAAAGAAGGGTCAGTGTTGGAACTAAAGGAATTCTCATAGAGAAGATTTGGAGGTTCAGAAAATGCAAGTGTACATTAAAACCTTAAAGGACTGGTAACAACTTAGATCTATGTGACAGTGGAGTACCAAACTAATAAGATTCAATTGCCCAGAGCCCCGTTTCTGTATAATGTTCTGGCAGGCTCCAGTTTTTCAGTTATTTTAAAAGTGTCAGAATTCAGGGCTATTCTTGTGGCCTTTCAGCCTCTCTGTTGTGAGGTTTTAGACCTGTGAAATTTAGATACATACAAAGAAATACAATTTAATTTAATTTACTAATTGCTACATATTCTTAATTAAAGAATACACTAAATAAATATATACTTATTATTTTTCATAGACCCCCATAACTAGAGGAATAACCTGACAAAAAAAAGATTTTAACTAAAAGACAAATTGGCAGATCATCCCTAGAAAATACTTCAAGAATTGGTGAAAAAATCCAAGGATGCTTATTCTGAACTTAATTATAACACTGCAGGGGAAAAGTACCTGCTACAGAATGAGAAGATCAAAATGTTCTTTTTCTTTTTCTTTTTTTTTAATCTTCCTCTTTTCTTTGTCTATTATTAGGTTTCCATATATAGATGGGGACTTTTGATAACTGTGTTTTGATGATAACAATTTAAAAACTATGTTTTACACTGTTCCATGTCTCTTGACATTATAGATCAACAGCCTAACAATGTTCAGTAGATGAGTCTGAATATGGAAAATACAACCCAACTTTTGCCATATAAATTGTTAGTTCAAATAATTCATTTTTCTCATGGGAAACCTACATGTTTACATGAAGAGATGCTCTAAGAAAGACATGCTTCCATTTAGGGACTGGTTTAGAAGAACAATATTTGAAGGTAGATTTCTTTGATCGGACATCGACTTTGCTTTTCAGTGCCAGAAAACTCCCTTTTCTTCTCTGAGAGAATATTCTATTATAATTTCAGGAAATTGTATTTGCTTTATGGGCTAATCTTGACTTTCATTTTCTTTTCCCATACCCAGTTTCTTCCAATAACAAGCATACTCTTCTAACAAAAACAAAACAGAACAAACAAACAAAAAAACCCTTAGGGTATTCCAACTTCTCTTATGATAGTTTAAGGAAACAATCTGTCCTCATATTCCAGTAAAGCCTCATCACACATAGGAGTTAGTCAGATTGAATTAGGTCTCCCTATTGTAATGTGAATAATTCTACTTGCATTAAGTTTTCTCAACATACACCAGGTGGGATCTGTTCTCTTTTCATCATGGAATGCATAAATCATATTTGTATCACATTTTCCTCACAGATTTTTATAAGATGAACCATTATTGATTGAAACATCTATATAGCTATCAGCTACTATCAGGAGAGCCTTATATATTGCTATAATATCTTCTCCTTGACAGAATCACAGAATCTCAGAATTGCAAGGATCCCTAGAGACTGAGTTCAACCTTACAAAGAATCCCTCTCTTCTCATCACTTACTGTTGATCACACAACCTCCATTTGAAGACATCTGGTGATGTAGAAAACACCAATTAACTTCTGAAGAAGCCCATCCTGCTTTTGGGATTCAGGATCCAAATTTGGGATTTGGATTCAAATAAGACAAGTGTCTTATTTGTCATAGAATAGCCTTAAAGTCAGCTATCATTTCCCTCCTAAGTTTTCTCTTCTCCATGCTAAGCATTCCCAGTTCCTTTAGTCAATTTAGATACACCATAATATGATTTCCAATCTCCTTACAATGTGGTTACTCTCCTCTAGCTCCAGTTTGTCTCTAGAATATAGCACACAGAACTGAACACAATGTGGTTTGAATGGGACAGAATGCGACAGGACTATGCCCTCTCTCGCTATGTACTTTTTAATACAGCCGAAGATCATATTACCTTTGGGAGGTTTCATGTCATGCTGATTCATTGTAAGCTTGCAATTTATTAGAATGTTCAGGTATTTCTCAATAAACTGTGGTTTAACCAATTTTTCCACTCATTAGACTCCTTTGCATTTTCATTCGGTTGTGTCTAAATATTGATCAACAATATGATCAGATTGTGACATGTTCAGTAAAGGCAAATCAAATTTCAAAAGCTTTAAGAAATAGAGTTGCAGGAACAAGGCATGTTAAAAAAGTAATTGACAAAACCTGCTTGGGCATGCTAAACCAACAGGCCAGGGTGAGGAATAGGACAGAGCTTGCTTAAGGGAATTCAACCCACGAGGAATTCTGACACATCAAGGGAATTTGTCTCTCTTGGGCATGAGCATGTGTATGAGTGAAGTGTTCTTCAGAATTAAGAATCAGTTTGCACAAAAAATGCTAAAATACTTTTTACTAAAATAAGCTAAAGAATATCTACATCTCTCTATATATACATATACATAGGAAGCAATAAATGTCTCCCTTGTTTTCTAATAATAGGGAAGAAGAAGTATGTCTGGAGGAGAGGGAATAGGACAGCAAATTGAATTTGACAAAAAATTTATTAAGCATTTACTAGGTGCAAGAAATTGTAAAGGTAGTAAAAATAATGTCCTATGAGAGACTCTTGATGAAACTTAAGTTCTTGAATCTGGAAAAGAGAAGACTGAGGGGAAACATGATAGCAGTCTTTGTATTTGAAAAACTGTCCTGTGGGAGAAAAATTAGTCTTTTCTGTTATAGCTAAACGGTAATCAGTGTTAGTTGTAGGGAGGCAGACTTT